GAACTTAAAGATAAGCGTGCTACCATTGCCGTAGTGACCAATGATTGACGATGATGTCAGGTCATGGGTTCGTTACTCATCGGATCGCGCGGTTAGTGGAATGATCTACAAAGGAGGTGGTATGATTCGAGTTTTTCACCAGAAGGCTCCATGCTTCAAAATGGGCTTCAGGCGGGAGTGGGAGTGCTTTCTTGGGCGCCTTAAGCTGTCACTAGTGCTGAGTATGTGTGGCTTCCTCACGATAAACTCGTGAATCCCACTAGGTTTTGATGTTGTCCCCCCCCCCCCCCCTCCTCCTCCGACATCCATATTACCTAACGTGTTTTGCCTACTCCCCATGAAAGTAGTGATTGGGACAAATCATTTAAGGGTTTTGTTCTTTTCTTCGCCTGCTCTCTTTGTCCTTCCTAACGTGACCTTGCGAAGACTAACTGGGTTCTAGAAAGTGCGCAGAAACGCGGCGTGTGGATTGCGCTCGTGGGTACGTAGGTTTCCGTAAATCATTTCACTTTTGATGGCGGTGCAGCGTGGGTGGGAGGCGTGGGGAGTGTTTTTGTGGCAAGATGACTTAGATTTCACTTGACGTAGTTAGTGAAAGCGGTCTTTCATCCCTTTTAGTCGACGAAATTTGAGGTTCGTTTGTGGGGAGAGGAGGAGATGGGAAATTCAGATGCTTATCTGTTTGGTCACAAGGTTCATGGCCATAGGTGATTTCAGATTGTCACTCTCCAGCTCAATAGAAATGTTGGAAAGCTCTTTACTCAAAAGGATTGGGACTTGCTGAAATGCTCACTCACAATCACATTTGAATTCATTGGTAAATAGGCGTAACTTAATGTCCCAATTAAAAGGAGCATCAGTGTGCTACTATCAGGCCTAATGCGATTTTGCAAATTGTTTAAAGGAAATTTCCTGGCTCTTCTTGTCTTCAAAATGTTTGTCGACCAATTTAAATTGCCATCTATTCGCATTTTCTTACTTTATTGGCTTTAGCTGATTCATAGTTGCTATGCTGATTACCAAGGAAGCCTTGGAATTTCTACCCCGAATTCTTCTCTCACCTCTTTGGTTTTCTTGTTAATTACATATCCCTTTTGACAAATAGCGCCTCTCCAACGTCAAAATTCACGAACTTTGTGTCGAAATTTGCCTTAAAATTTATGCACAATCTCTCTTATGCAGACGAAACAATGTCATTTATGGTTTGCTTAAAATGTGCCGTAGCATCCGGCTGTAAGGTGTCATATTTTGAATAAGTTAGAGTGATATTTCACTCTTTCGATGATTGAAATTAGCTCTCTACGATATTGAAAATTCAAAATAGTTTTTTTGTATGCAATGACATGTTGCGTTAAGTGTACTACTGATTCATCTAACGCGCGAGCAAACGAATAAACAGTACTCGTATTCTTCCCCTAAAGGTAGCGAAGGTATTGCTAACTGATTGCTCGGATAAATACCTTTGTAAGGCATCTCTTCATTTAGCAATGACTTGATTTTGACATTACAATTGATTACGAAGGTGAAGTGTTTAAGGTGCTCATTTTCCCATCTCTAGCAAATGTTCACTCCTTCCTCCCGTTTATTCGAACTATAAGCAACTGTTGTTAATAATTGGGGGACACTTTCTGCCATGATCTCTCCTAGTCACGCCTTTTTGCTATGAAAATTTAATGGGCAATGCGCACGCTTGCTTTGTAGATGTGAAATAACGACCTAACCAAGTAGATTGCATCTCTGTCATCACAATTTCCTTTGCAATAATACTATCCTATTTGGTGAGGTCACGCCCATATAAGTAGTGTTTTAATATTTGAACGGGAGTCAATAGGATAGAGTGCTTAGGAAAGGAGTTTAAACGTGTCTCTCTATTATTATCCTTCTATAAACGAAATGCCTCAGTCTTTCTCAATCCTAATTGTCATGCTCATATTTCCTCACCCTCAGTAAGGTGTCGTCATATTAAAAGTAATCAAAAAATTGTAAAAACACAACTCGGAATAATGATGGTATGCGGATAATCAGTTAAGCAGATGCTAATTGGACAAGAGAACGAAAAATTTATAACACTGAAACGTCAAAAGTGACATCAGTGACAAATCAGTAATGAACCTATCTCGAGAATTCCGGTGTCGTTAAGATGAACAGAAAAGTGAGTCTTTAAGTTTTTCTCTCGATAGTTGACTTCTAATTTCCTGGCATATCTCTTTTTCCCTCACTCCATCGATTCTGCAATCAGAATTCTACCTATTGTCCCTAACTTACCCACGCAACGCAGTGACAACTTTTGGTGCGGTTCTGCTGAATTAGCTCTCATGTCAATCGTTTCCTATTTTTCTCCACAGTAAAGATTAAATTTGCGATTATTGTGAATTGTACCAAGTCAATCCTATAGGAGCAATGGGGAAGCGGTTAAGATCTACACTGGCTGAGACTTTGGTAAAGAGGCGGGGGTGGGGGGGTGGTGGGGTTGAGGAACCTTGGAATATGGGAAAATTGTCTGATACAAGAAAGGTAAGCGAATTGGAGTTCTAAAGACTGCCATCGTTCTCTTGGAGTAATTCAAGCCGTACTAAGGAAGTGNAGGGGGGGGGGGTCATGCGAATAGGGATTTTATATACGTACGCTAAGTTGACAGGTGAATATATTTTCTTTCGCTACCTCTCAAAACTCGGAAGTGTAGTAAAATGCCCCCCCTCTCCTCCTCCTCCTCTGCATTTGCATCATTGGACATCCTGTATTTATCAAAATATTCGCAATAATTGCATCCTCCAATGATAAAGAATCATTCTATTCTTGAGTGAATATGGCACTTATTCATTATTTCTGTTTGCATATACTCAGAGTGGCTATATCTACTATTAATTTTTATAGCTGCCCCTATGCTTCGTTTCTTCATAAAGAGGGGAAAACAGGATTTGCCATGATTATCTCCCCCCCCCCTCTCCTTTGTTAGTCTTGTTTTCTTGGGAGCAAATTATTTTTGCATGTACCCTGCTTCTTGGACTCATTAAAGGGCGTGCCAACAACACTGGATTTGGGTTGAGGGGAGTTACCCTGAGACCACTCTTATGAGAAAATTGCATTTCGCCAGAAGTAGTCCTTGTGGTTCGCCATCCGCCTTACTGGCTGTGCACCTATGATCATCCGCCTCGTGATCTCTTACACGGCACACACACACACACACACACACACACACACACACACAC